ATGAGCCGGCGCACGTGTTGGCCGTCTAGATTCTGCCACTCCTGCTCGACGAGTGCCGCCTGAAGGTCATCCAGCTCCTTGTAGTCCGCCTTGGTCAAGCCATGCGTCTGGGGCTGCAGCTTGGGCCCACCCTCCCACCCTGGCCGCCCCCGCGCGACCAGACCCATGGGATTCCCCAAATTGGAGCTCCTCGAAGTGCGCCCCATAGGGCACTTCGGCCCGCGGCCCGCGAAGTGCTCGCAACCGCGCACCAACCCGCGGCATTTCAACCGGTTCGCACAAATGCCTCTTTTGTAAACCTTCTTCTCCAGCTCGTCGGGCTGCCCAGCGTTGCCGGCCCCGCTGGAGCGGATGACCTTTCCTGCGTCGGGGCCCCGACGCGCGGACTGCAATGGCCAATGAAAACGCACGCCGTGGTCGGCGTAGCCCTGCGCCCGCCAGCGCTCCACGCAGTCCTGCGGGGTGCTCTGGCGGGCGACGCCGTCGCCGTGGTAACTGACCTCTTTGAAGCGAGGCTCGCCCGTGGGCTCATCGAAGTCCTCATCGTCCTGACGCAGGTTATCCCGCAATTGTGCATTTGCTGGCGAGCCACTCGGAGCTCGCCCGCGCGGGCGTCGCGCGCCGCTTGAGCGGGCGCGCGAACGCCCGCAGGAATGACTCCGATGGTGGCGCGGCGGCTTGCTTGCAGCTCCCCGTTTCTCATCGTCGCCAGTTCGATCCACGCGCCCGCAAGCCACGCGGCTCGATGGGCGTTCGCGCAGTACGCAGGTTGAGCGGGGCCTTCATTGCGTTCAAGCTCATATTGATATCCCGCAGAGGGTCATCATCAAAGGTTACCTCGCATACGAGATTCCCATTCACCTGCGGTGGGAATAATTGTCGCCACTCCTCATCTGTAGCCGGTACTGTTTCGTCATCAGAGTCGCCCGGCCCGCATCCACCAGAATTCGCAGGTGCCCCCCCCCCCCCCATCTCGCAATCCAAATCGGCGGATGACCGGCACTCGCCCTCCTCGATGATCTCCACGCGAGCAGGTTGCCCCACGATCGGGGTGCCCGGCCAATCTGCGATAGCGCTTTCGTCATGGCCGAAGAACACTTCCTCGCAGAGCTCCTCGGCGCACCTCTCGAGGGACACGCTGGCGTTCATGTGTCTAGCAGAAGTGGGGGCCTCGTCAATATCAGCTAAAGGGGTCTCGTAGTCAACATAGTGAATGTCCGAATCGGTTCGAGCCAAATGCATCGACTGACCCCCCTGCCTCTCCCGTCGCCCCCGGGGCATTCACAGCGAGAATGCTGAGCGCTATGGCAAATATCGCATTCCATGGTTTTCCCGCCGGCATCCTTCGGGCTACCCCGACGCCCCTGACCCTGTCCTGAGGCGCATCTACGGCCTCTACCCTTAACCAGGAAGATGTCCTCACACTGCGGTTCCGTAAGGGAAGCCAGGAATGGTGGAATGCCTCTATCATGCAACCGTGTACCTTTGCCCTGTGACCCGAGCACACGTCGGACCGCGCGTCGCACCCATCGAACCGGCTTCTCAATGACACATGTCCAGCGGCGCTTGTGCTTCTGATGGCCCAAGCACATCCATTGTGCTTGCTGTCCTTCGGCGAGGTGCGCAGGAACACCAGGAGTCTGGGCCCCCGGCGCCTTCGTCTGACGAGGCGTCGGCCCATGCGCCTCAATCGAAATTAGACTCTGCGGGCTGCCCCGCCGAGCCCACAAAGGCAGTGGCTCGGACGGGGGCCGCCGTTGCCGACGGCCCCCCATATTGAGCCCAGGGGTCTTGCTACCCCAAGGGCTGGCCACTTTTTGGCTTACTAAAGTGGCGGCCTCGTTCGGTCGTGGGTCGCCGTTCCAGATTGCGCTGACAGGTCGCCCCGCGTGAACGTCACCATGGAAGACGCCAGCGCGGCGGCCGCGATTGAAACGCCACCAATGTTGCCAGGGCCTCGCTCAGCAATGATCGGGGCGGGCGAAACGGGGGCGGTGGTAAAGGGCTGGGTTGGGGATTTGCTAACATGAGGTGGGCGCCTAAAACTCTCGGCCTGCGTTCGCATGCCTGGAAGTGCTATGGGAGCATGCGCGCCGGCCACAATGTAGATGCATTTGGCGCCCTGCCCGCGCGTTCCACCGCGGCCGCGCGTTCGCCCGCGCACCTATGAACGCAAGATCGATCCATGCGCGCTCAACGCGCTGAACGGGCAACGCACGAGAAGCACTCGCGTTCGCACGCAACGCCCGTGCCGCGCCTCGAAGCACACGCGCTCGGACCGACAGCGCCGCGACCGAGTTCCAGACCGCCTCGCCCGACCCCCTTGCGCCGGACGGCCAAAAACCCCAGCCTGAACAGTGCCGCCCCAGACCGCGCGCTTCGAGGCTCGCTCGGTTCTGCGCCCGCTCTGGCACCGCAGGGTTCGCGCGAGAAGCACGCTCGGGCGGAAGCGCGAAGGAAGGCGGCTGGAGGGGAGAGGGGTGGAAGGACAAAGGGAGAATCGGCGCTCGGGGGGGAGAAAGCGTAGCCGCGCTGCTCGGCGTGTCAGACCAGCAGCAGGCATCCAATTCCAAACCCCCCCCTTTCCCTATCCCCCCCTTTTCGTCCGGTCCGAAATGCGGGCGCGAGCCCTCGTGCGCCCCTGTGAACAATCGAATTGTTGCTGAGTCCTCGGCATTTGATGGTTCAATGATTGTAGTGGCTGTTGCGCACGCGAGGCGCTGATACCTAGGGCCGTGAACAGTACGACTCCCAGGATCTGGAAATTTTGGATGATGAGCCCCGCAATGTCAGCTTCGAAGCGTGCAATCTCGAAACGCGCGGGCGTCTGGTCGATCCGTTCTCCCGCATGGACACGAAAATCGATGAGAGCCGTCCCTGGGTTCAGTTGTCTTTCATATTCAAGATTCTCGAACTCAGTGCTGAAGAAAAACATTATACAAGGCCACGTTAGGCACCGGCCTGATGGGAGGGAATCGTGGTGCCTGTGGCCACGTTGACCAAGGCATGTACCTCGCGAGCGAACTCGCGGAAAGATACGTTACTGGCAAGGCCCCAGTGGGGACCGGTAGTGCGCGCGTCGTCTGCAATACGTTGTATGCGTTTAACAGCACATCCGATGGCGACCCAGAGGATGCCAAAGATAGCGATGCCAATCCAGTGGCCTCGTAGTAAGTGTCGGTTGTGGGTGGCTGTTGTTTGTTAGGTGACGCTTCCGTCAGTTTGCGAGGAGGTGCGGGCGGTACGATGTCATAACGCATGCTATCATGCATCGCATCCTCGAAGAAATTGCCAAGTAGCGTTGGTGTGTGTGGACGTTAGGAGAATAATAGCGCCGAGATGTAGGGCTCAGGTAAGAGACCTCTGCGTGGGCAGAGGCTTCAGCGCAAGTATACTTGCGATAACCATAATCTCCTCCACATAAAACCACTACGCCCTGATAGTCCACCGTATCGGTCGTCCACCAGATAGCGCCGTGGATAGCAAGGAGTACAGCTAGAGCTGGCCACCAACAGCCAGCCCCGCTGCCAAGTCTAAAATGACGTGGTGGGCCCAACCAACTACTACGCCTCAGGTGTAGCATCCGACTACCCCTGTTCTATCGTAGTAGCGATAAAGCAAGAGATATGATATGGCCGCGTGAGCGGCAAGGTGACATTTCAAGGGATTGTTTCCGCATCGATGTCGAATAGCGTGTCGCGGCGCGACACGTTGATATAGGCGGCCGGGCGCTAGAGCCCAAACGGCCGCGGACAAACGCTCGTTAACTCTCGCCTTTGCTTTTCCTCCTTCAGAATTAGTGTTTATGTTGAGTAGTGGGCACGGGGGAGGGAGACGGGGATAGAGAGAGTTCGAGGGAGAGAGAGGGATAACAAAAACAAAGAGAGAAAGACAGAAAGAAAGAGAGACAGACAGACGGGGAGAAAGAAAAAGGGAGAACGAAATAAAGACAGGAAAACTAGCCGCCTGCATGGGGCATTTGGATGTTGCTGTCCGCCGCGCGACCAACGCAGCCTGCATTCGCAATACGTCGCGAGCAAACCAGACCCAACCAAAAACACGGAAAACGACTGCTGCCCAGGAAGAAAAGCATGGCACCATTGGGGGGAATATTGTAGTCGCGCCTGCTCGCAGGCGCAGCGGCAAACACTCGCGCGGGCCACAAGACGCACTGTGCCTCCTTCAAACTCTGTTGCGACATAGGGGGAGCATGTCACCGCAGCGCCGCGGCGCGATATGAGTGCGCCCCCAGCCGCGCTACGGCGAGGACGGGGGGGGGACTGGGACGGGGCCCGGCGGCAGGGCTGCGGAAGCCCAGGAGGGAGGCGACAGAGTTAGGCGGAGGAATCGAACCGACGGACGACTCGAGCGAGGGGAGGCCACGATTCCATAGAGCACTTTCGGGGTAAGCATTACTAGGAACAACGCGTTCGGACCTTGGCATACAAGAACCACAAAAACTGCTTAACACAATGAGCGGTTATGTTTGGGAAGTTGTTCGCTCTTGTGGAGCAACGGTCGCTGCCCGACTCTTCGAACGATGACGTCTACTATCTTCTCCGACACCGATGGTCGACTGACCGATTCGGGCGTGGACTAACCTGGCTCAGCGCAAACACGGCTCAACCAATCTAGACTACCTGCAATGGTATTTCTCAGGGGGGCTTCCCAACACACAGCCCAGCCTGGATGTAATGCCACCTCCAGGGCCACAAGTGGCTCAGCCATGATTGCCCACAAGAGAACGTCCGTCGGCTGCGACGTCGTGGAGGACAACTGCGGCATCGGCGTCGAGGACGACGTCGACCGCCAGGAGGACGTCGACGTCGACGGGCCTATCCCGGGCGTTCCAGAAAGCCAAAACCCGGCTTTGCAGGATCCTGCAGGATCCAGCGCTCTGGCTGACCCTCGTTTGCGCTGAACCCCGCTACCTGTCGGCTGGCCGCTGCGCCCGCCCCCGCCGGGCGGCGGGCGAGGAGGAGGCCAGGCGGGGCGGCTGCCTCCAAGGCCGGCGACGTCACCATCGAGTACAGGGGGGCGGGCGCCCACGGGTCGCCTGCCGCGGCGGCCAGCCGGGACCAGCGCGGACGGCAGACACGTCACGGGCTGGGTGTTTCTAAAGTAGTGCTGGCCCAAGATGTCCCCAGCTTTTCGCGCCATTTGGGAGCCCCTGGGGCCCTCTGGCCTCTGGGCCTGTTGAGGGGTGCTCTGGAGGCCGTCTGGGCCTCGGCAGGAATCCTGGGAACAACTTGGGCCAGGGACACCTTTGACAACACTCCGACGGGGGCGGACAAAGACCCACTGCAGCCGCCGGCCCCCTTGGGATCCGAAATTGCTGCCCCGTTTTCTCACTCCCTGTGCCGCGCACCGTGACTGGTACGAATCCACAGAAGAGGCACGCAAACGCGATGGCGAGTCGGAAAAGTAAGAGAGCCCACCTGCTACAATGTCCTCAGCTCCTCGTCCCGAGAGACTGCCAGTTCCAGTGCAGCTTCTCTCTGTCCCAAAGGTGTCGGGCGTTGTAGGTCAATTACTCCACGTTCCGAAGCTGGAAGGTTGTAGCACGCGTGCACACCAGGGCCCGAAAGGAACCCGCTACCACCACCGAACCACCTCCTCGGAATCCCTGGGTGCCCTGGGATACAAAAACACCCCAGCAAAGCATCCTAATAGCAGAAATGATGAAGAGGCAGCTCGAGGAGAGAAAGGTCGGCTACGTATAGGGGACAATGGTGAGAGCTCGGCCATGTGCACCTCCGTAGTATTTGTTACTTGCCGTCTGGACCAGAAATGTAGCCGGCATTGACGCGAGAACAAGATTCCTGAACAAATTGTGAGGAACCCCAGCGAAACCGTCGCCAGACTGGGCGATCTCGGACTCCCTGCCCACCCTGTGGGATTATCCTGTGGTTCTTTTTGAAGTATAAAGCCCTCTGACGAAACGCGATGAGGGAACCTATGCCGGAGACTGATTTTTCCCCACCATCCTGTGTTGAGTTGGGTCCTCGTTTTGATCAGCAGCGCCCCGCGTCTCACTCCTCCTTCCTCCTCCCACTCCTCCTTCTCTGGTTCGCATACCATTTCGGCACACCCCTCACACGCTTCGAAGCCCCATAGGGAGTTCCACCTAAGGCCCCAGTCTCAAGGTCGGCATACCTGATCCACACCACTTCGACGCACCCCTCGCACGGTTCGCGGCCCCAAGGGGAGCTTCACCCAAGGCCCCAGTCTCAGGGTCCGTATGCCTGGTCAACACCATTTCGACGCACGCCTCACGTACGTCGTGGCCACAAAGGAAGCTACACCTGAGGCCCCAGCGTGGGTGCGCATACCTGGTCCAGAACATTTCAGAAACACCTCTCACACGTTTCGTAGCTCCACCAAAAGCACCAGTCTCAAGGTCCGCATACCTGGTCCACACCCTTTCGGCGCATCCCTCACACGTGTTGTGGCCCCATAGGAAGCTCCACCTAAGGCCCCAGTCTCAAGGTCAACATCTTTACCTGTTCCGCACAATTTCGGCACACCACTCAGATGTCCCGTGGCCCTGCAGGGAGCTCCACCGAAGGCCACAGTGGCAGGACTCGCGTGCGTGTCCGCCCTCATGTCAGCACATTCCTCACAAGATTCATGGCCCCATAGCGACCTTTACCAAATGCCCTGTCGCCTGCTTCCCCGCAAAGCTGCACCGAATGACGCGCAGGTACTCCGTATCTGACCTCTGCGACCCCATGAGCAGCGTCGCTCCGTACTTCCCCCGCACGCCCTGGTCATTTTGATAGCCCCTTCCCTTAGTGTCCACCTGTCTTGCGGTAATCACACCTGCACATGGCTGGGCCCCTCGCCAGAATCATGCATCCCCCCAGCAACGTGCGGGGGGGAGCGGGGCCTGAGTCGGGCCTGCGAGCGCCACAATACGCTTGTGAGCACCACAATAAAATTGCCAGCGCAACACCGTGCCTGTGAGCACCGCGCCATGCCCGTGGGGCAACCGCCCCCCACCCCCCACCACTCATGGTACCGTTACGAGGAGGGGGGAGGGGGCGGGCGACCCCCCGTAACTGACGCTACGTTGTTACCGACTCAAAGAAGAATATCCCGCGGCCAGAATCCCTCATTGTTCGCTCCATAGGCTCATGCAAATGACGAAACGTGCGGGCTCCTCACGCGCTCGCGCTCCCGCGGCCACAATCCCCCCGCAACTTCCAATGCCTTCGAGCTCCCGAGGCCACAACCCCTGGGAACATGCAGCGCGTTTGCGTTCTCGAGGCCACAACCTCTCGCGAAGTACGTCCCACTCGCGTTCCCGATGCAACCATCCCTCGTGAACTACGTCGCGCTCGGGCTTTCGAGGCCACACACCTTTGTGTTACAACACCGTCGCTCTCCCGAGGCCACAACCCCTGGTACACTGCTAAGCTCGAGCTCTCGAGCCCACAGCCAGCGAACATTACGACTAGCCCGCGCCCCGAGACCAGAATCTGTTGCAGCTCGTCATAGATTCGCAACGCGTTCAGGCCGCACCCCTGGCAAACTTCGACACGCGCGCTCCCGAGGCAACCATGCCTGGTAAATCAGGGAAGATTAACAGATGCGCGTTTCCGAGACCACCATTCCACATTGATTACTAAAGACGCGCGCAACCAGACAGCCAACAAATAGCCAAGACCAACTACCAACAATCTACTCAGGCAGCGATCCAACCAGCCGGATTGCCAGTCAGCCACTGGACATAAAAAAGCCAATCAACCGATCGAGCGCGGCCACACAAGCAGTCTCGGGGGAGGCAGGCGTCAGATGGCAAAGCTTTCAAGCATATATGAACACAACATATATATATATATATATGTACTAGAGAACCACGCGCGCGCTCCGCGCGCGCTTAGGTTCTAGCCGTGGCCACGGAGCAGCTCCAAAGACAGTATGAGCAGGCACAGGTCCAAGTATGTGGCGTTCGCCCAGAATCCGACCTCCTCCCCGTCCTCCTCTTCCCCCTCCGCCTCCTCCTGCCTCTCCGCCCTCTCCTCCCCCTCCCCCTCCTGTCCCCTCCCCCTCATCCACCTCCCCCTCCTCCTCCACCTCCTCCTCATCCTCCTCCACCTCCTCCTCCCCCCGTCCTTCTCCTTCCCCTCCTCCTCCTCCTCCTCCTCCCCCTCCTCCTCCCCCTCCCTTCCTCCCCCCCCACTCTCCCCTTCCGCATACTCCGACTCGTCGTCGACCTCATCCTTCTCCTCCTCCTCCTCCTCCTCCTCTCCTCCTCGTCCTCCTGTTCCTCCTCCTCCCTCCTCTCCACTCCCATCCTCCTCCATATTCTCCCCCCCCCTCCTCCCCCTCCTCCTCCTCCTCCTCCCCTCCTCCTCCTCCTTTTCCCCCTCCTCGACCTCCTCCTCCTCATCATCTTCCTCCCCCTCCTCCTCCTCCTACTCATCCTCATCATCATCCTCCCTCCCCATCATCTTCCTCCTCCTCCCTCCTCCCTCCTCCTCCTCCTCCTCCTCCTCTCCTTCTCCTCCTCCTCTCCTCCTCCTCCTCCTCCTCCTCCTCTTCCTCCCCCTCCTCTTCCTCCTCCTCCTCCTCTTCCTCCTTCTCCGCCCGCTCCTCGTCCTCCTCCTCCTTTTCCCTCTTCCTCGTCCCCCTCCTCCCCCTCCCAAGACACTTGACGCCGGGATGACTTCCCGGGGCCGACTGTTCATCCCGACTTGTGTTTTTCGGCCCCGGGGCCCCGCAAGGGCCCCCTGGAGGCTGGAACCTTTGCAAAATTTCCAGTCGTGTTCTTTGTCCCGACGCGAGGTGGGAGCAACGAAAAGCGACACCACCACCACCACCAGGGCGAGGAGCCAGGGGATGCCCCCTGGTGGTGTGGCCACACCTCCCCGCTCGAGACATCCCCGACCTCCAGCTTGAATTGAAGGGGCATCGCGGACATTCTCGATGAAGCTGGCTCCCCTGGTGGTGGTTGTGGTGTCGCTTCTCCTTCCCCCGAGCGAGGGGGACTGGGTCCTGCACTCTGCCCCGGGCCTCAACGGCCTCCGGACGGGAGGCGCCCGCCCTCGAGGGCGGCGCGGCGGGCCCGACGCGACGCCGACGGCGCTCCCTCGGGGTCTCTCCTGCTTTGCACTTTGGGGGAGCCTGTTTCGGGCCCAGAGGCCATCGAAAAATAGGAACTGGGGCAAAACAACTACTCCAAGGAGGGGGTCGGGACCTCCGGGACCGCGGATTGAAAAACCTGTCGTCCGATGTTTGGAGAGGGTAATGCGGCCCCGGTCGGGCCGGGGCGGGGGGACCGCAGCCCTGGGAGGGAGGGAGGGTGGGAGGGAGGAGCAGGAGAAGGAGGGAGCAGGAGGAAGCGAGTCAGAAGCAGGGATCTGTGACATGCATCTTGGGAGCCCTTCGGGGGCTTCTGGCGGCGTCTTGGGGGCCTCCGGGGCGCTTCTTGGAGTCTCCTAAGGGCTTTTTGCTGCCGAAGGCCCGAAAGATCCGTTCGGATTCCCTGTCTGGGCCCCTTCTTAGAGCTGTCTTGGGCCAAATCTTGGACCGTCTTGGAGGCCTCTTGGGCTGCTTGGGTCCCTCTCGGGCTGTCTTGGGGCCGCCTTGGGAGCCTCTTGGGCCGTCTTTGGGCGAGCTTGGGAGCCTCTTCGGCTATCTTGGAGCGTCGGGAAGCCGAAAAGGAGAAAACCACAAAATCTTCAAACAACATCGAAACACAACCGTTTGTTGCGTCTTGTGGCCCTCTTGAAAAAGCTTCTTGGAGGCCTCTTGGGGCGTCTTGGAAGCCTCTTGGGCTGTCTACGGACCATCTTGAGCTTGTGGCGTCTCAGAGCCCTCATGGACATCTTGGGTGCTTCCCGGGGCCGTCTTGGAGGCCTCCTGGAGGCCTCCTCGGCCGTCTGGAGGCCCCTTGGAGGCGCCAGGGCGGGGGTATTAAAAAAGGGGGCCCGATGGTTTTGAGGTTGGCGGGGCCCCCGGGCTGGGGACCTGGTATTCATCCATATTATATGTGTGTATGAAGAGCTACCTGTGGAAGCACTACCCCAGCCAACTCGCTGGCCAAGCCTAACCAACCCTCATGCCAACCCCAGCTAAACCTCCCGGCCAATCCCAGTGGCCAACCCTGGTGTGGCCAAGTCTGTCCACGGGATACATCAACTTCCAGGGCTGCGCCCCGCGATGCCAGACGCGCGGTCACCTTCGCGCCATCGCGGTGCCGCCTTGGAGAAGGGCGATCCTCTGGCATGGGACGTGATGCGCGAGGCACGGTCATCTGGGGCCGCAAGAGCTGACGGCGGGGGAGCTGATAGGCGAAGCGTGCAAATACATGTGTGCACGTTTTGCCGCTTCGTGGATCCAACTCTCTGTTCTCTGTCTCTCTCTTCTCTTTCTCTTTCTCTTTATCTCTCTTTCTCTCTGCCTCCTGTCCCTTCTCTCGTTATGTCTCTCTCTCTAGTTCTCTTTGTTATGTTTCTCTCTCTCTCTCTTTCTCTCTCTCTCTCTCTCTCTATATATATGTATGTATCTATCCCTCTCTCTCTCTCTCTCTCCGTTTAAGGCATCGAAGAGCGGGGAGGAGGACGAGAAGGAGGGGGAAGCGGGAGGAGAAGACGGGGGAGGGGGACGACGAGAGTGGGAGGCGGATGAGGAGGAGGTGGAGGAAAAAAGAACAAGGAGGAGGAGGAGGACGATGAGGATAGGAAACTCGAGGCTGGATTGGCCCGCCTATAAAGAGGAAGGTCCGAGACGCGGGGGATAGGAGGACGAGGAGGAGAGGAGGACGAGGAGGAGGAGGACCAGGAGGACGAGGAAGAGGAGCAGGAGGAGGAGGAGGAGGAGGAGGAGGAGGGCGAGGAGGACGAGGAAAAGGCGGACGAGGAAGAGGATGAAGATGACGACGAAGAGAAATCCCTCTCCCTCCCATGCCCCGCCACGAAGGGCACGCAAGGCCTCCCGCGGGCATCACGAACGTGGGCGCGTCGGCGCGCATCGAACTCGGCAGGGCCTCGAGCGCAACAAAATGCACAAGCACACACACACACACACATTCCGATCCTTCCCCCGTCCTCAGAGAGCTAGGTCACTCAATCTCCTCCATCCTGCCCCCCTCCTTCTCGTTCGTTCGTTAACGCCTGGTCCGACTTGCCCGCCCGCCGATAGGCGAGAGAGCGTGAGCCTGATGTTCCTTGCCCCTCTGCCTCGCTCCTGCGTGGGATCGCTCAGCATCGACTCGGGATGCCGAATCTAGGGGAACAAAAGGTGACATAAACGTAAAAACTCGGAGGTCCGCGTGGATTTCTCGGATCGGCGCTGGGGCCCCCCGGCGGCGCCTCCGGCGCCGCCCCTGGCGCGCTCCGCGCGCCAGGGAGGGGGTCCAGCGCCGATCCGAGAAATCCGCGCGACCTCCGATTTTGTATGTTTATGTCACCTTTTTGTTCCCTTAGACTCGGATCGGAACGCGCGTCAGATCGGGCCGCATCGGCACGGAGCTTGGATGGAATCGGACCAGCCGCGCCAAGATGCACAACGGCGCCGAGAGAGCATCGGGCCGCATCGGATCGTCGGAATATTGTAACCCAATCGGATCGGGCCGGCTGGAATCGGCGTTCGGATCGGAATGGACCTTGAGAGGGCGGAACAACCACCCGCATACTGAACACCCCTACAATCGAGGCCCCTGAGCAAGAACGCGTGCAGAAGGAACGGGACGGGCCTGGCAAACGCCTAGGACACTCTAAACGGTGTTCCTCCCTTAACTCCCACCACAATGAAGGAAACGCCCGACGGCCCACTCACTACTTGGGGGCAGGCGGAGGCGCGCCCCATTTTGTGGCGGGCGATGGGAAGAGCCCATCTGGGGCCCCCGCCCCTCGGCCGGGGAAAAACCTGCAAGGTGGGCGGGTGGAAAAGGGGCAGCAGCAGCAGCGGCCGGTCAAGCCAAACGGCTGCCACGGGAAAAGGAGGGGGGAAGGGGGCGACGCAAAGGGGAGGATCAAAGTGTCAAAGGGCGGGGGGCCCAATAACATAGACGCATCCTGCCCAGCGGCCCACTCGCTACTTGGAAGGGGGAGGCCCGCCCAATTGCGTGGCAGGCGACGGGGGGGGCCCGTCTTGGACCCCCGCCCCCGCGGCCCGAAAGGGCCCCCCCCCGTCCATCCCCCAGCAAAAACACTGGCCCCGCACGAGGGCCCGCACTCACGAAGGCGTCGGCGGAGCGCCCCGGCGACCCCGGGGCGCCCGCGGCACTCCGCGGGGCTGAGCCCCGCATTCCGAGGGCGCGCGCAGGCGCTACGCTGCGCGCACAAAACCTCGCCCGGGGCGCGCTCCGCCCCTTCCTCGGGCGCCTCCGCGAGAACGGGATTCGACCCCGGCTCAACTTTATAAAAACCCGCCCAGGGGCTGGCGCCCCGGCGTCATCCATGCCCTGCAACGAATCCTCTATCCCGATTCGAAACGAGCATCGCTTGCCCTGCGGCTGCACCCTCCGCGCCTTCCGCGACAAACGTCGAGCTCTTTTGTGGTCGTGTTCCATTCACGTTCGATGAGTTACTTAAGGTTCTCATTGGTTGTAGTTGGTTTTGGCTAGTTTCAGAGAGTTCCACAAACATCCGAAGACATACTAAGACACATATGTTTTTCATTATTATCGCCGTCGCTATCGCCAACGCAATCGCCGCGATCATCATCATGGTCATGTTCGCCATCATCAACATCAGCATCGTCGTTATCGTCATCGTCGTCGTCATTATTAACGGCAGCAGAAGAACATACGAGCCTCATCACCATCCTCATCCTCGTCATCCGCATCACCATCACCAGCAGCATCATCATAATCACCATCATGCTATCACCGGCATCATCATCACCATCAGCATTAGCATCGTCATCGCCACCGTCATCGAGCGTCACCAGCGTCATCAGCATCACAACTTCGTTACATCACCATCGACCTCATCATCCAAGCCTTGGGGGGCCCTGCGCACCCCAAGATGCTAGAGCACGTGGATCACCGGACACTTGGAGCCTCTGGAACCCTTGGACCCCCTGGCGCCCCAGACCCCTATCAACCCTTAGGCCCTGGGAGGCCCTGGTCGCCCCAGAACCCCTGGAGCCCTTGGAACACTTGGAGCCTATGGAACCATTGGAACCCCTGGAGCCCCAGACCCTTAGACTGAACCCCCAGGACCTGGGAGGCCCTGAGCGCCCCAGAGCCCATGGAGTCCCTGGAACACTTGGAGCCCCTGGAACCCTGAGAACACCTGGAGCCCCCGACCCTCAGACTGGCCTTTAGGCCCTGGGAGGCCCTGAGCGCACCAGAGCCCCGAGCCCCTGGAGCCACAAGACAGCCCGAGCACCCGAGATCCCGACACCTAGACCCCATGCAGGAGCGGAGTGGTTGTGCCGAAAGGCATCGGATAATACTAGTTGTGGTAACAAAGAACGGTCATCGATCTGGCAACAGAGAACCGCATGGCGAAGACTTGGCATCGATCTGTTGACAAAGAAAGGGATGTGTAAATCACAAAACTGGCACCGATCTGGAAGGACGCAGATGCACGTGATAACCAACGGCCGACATCCGACGCCAACATGCTCTTGCACGCGCGGCAGCGCGCATCACGTTGGAGCGGTGCGCGATCGGCGCCCCCCGCGAACAATGAGGCGCAGTGCCCGTCGCGGAGGGGGCTACCTCATGGCGGTTGAGACCACGGATGCGTGTGTGTGTATATATATACATGCCACAAGCGAAACGCGCAGGAAGAAGTCGCAAGCGAAACGCTCAGGGCGCTTTTCATGCTACACCCGTTGCAACTGGAGCCATGTGAACCTCAGGCATGCGGCCACTGGAACCCTGGAACCCATGATGCCCCCGACTCCTAGACTGAACCTCATCGGTCCTGGGAGGCCCTGAACCCCCCGACCCCGAGCACCTGGAGCTCCCTGTAACACTTCGGGCCACTGAAACCGCTGGAACCCATGTGGCCAACCGACCCCTGGACTGAACACCATAGGCCATGGAAGGCCCTGAGCGCCCCGAAGCATTAGAGCACCTGGGGCCCCTGAGACACTCCACGCCCCCGGAACCATTTGAACCCCGGGAGCCCCAGACCCCTAGACTGAACCCCTAGGCTCTGGGAGGCCCTGAGCGCCCCAAAGACCCTGGAGCCCCTGGGACACTTGGAGCCTCTGGAACCCCGAGAACACCTGGAGCCCCCGACCCTCAGACTGGCCCCCCTAGGCCCTGGGAGGCCCTGAGCGCACCAGAGCCCCGAGCCCCTGGAGCCACAAGACAGCCCGAGCACCCGAGATCCCGACACCTAGACCCCACGCAGGAGCGGAGTTGTGGTGCCGAAAGGCATCGGAGAATACTTGCTGTGGCGCCAAAGAACGGGCATCGATCTGGCAACAGAGAATCGCATGCGAAGGCTTGTCATCGATCTGTTGACATAGAAAGGGGCGTGTAAATCACAAAGCTGGCACCACCGATGAGGAGCGACACGCCCATGGGCATGTCATCCACGACGGCAGCCGAGCACAGCGTACGCTTGACAACACGAGGGCTACGCACAGACGTGTCTACGCACAAAATGGGAGACGGTGCCCCCCCCACCGCTGGGACCACCGATGACCCAAGCGAAACGCACAGGAGGAAGTCCCAAGCGAAACGCCTAGGGCGCTTGTTTCATGCTACACCTGGAACCCCTGGAGCATCCGTAACCCCTGGAACAATTTGGGCCACTCCTGGAACCCATGGGGCACCCTTTACATCGGGAGGGGTGATGTGAGAATAGAAAGAACTAGGGTGCCTCTTCGAGAACTCGCCATCGCTCGAGCCGTTCGCCCCCCGCGCAGTTAGATTTCTGTTCGCGAGTCCAGCAGCGGCGACGAGGAAGCTTCGACGCTCGAGATTCGAGGTTCGGGCTGGGGACCACATGTACCAAAAACTACACTTTGACATCGCTGGCCCACCAGCCGTATATCAGCGACCACACGTCCGAGCGATGCCGATAAACTGGTGGGCGCGCAGCCGTTCTCACCTCATCTGGACACTGAACTCGCGGTCGTGCTGAACCAGCCTGTCGGGCGCTACTTGGTTGAGTATGTTGCGCATCGCGGCCAGCTCCTCGCCTAGCTCGTAAGTCTCGATGTGCAGCGCTCGAATCTCTTGAGCCCTGCTCTCCAACGCCTCGGGCGCGCGCGCCGGCGGGGCAACTGGAGGGCGGCGCGGGGCGCTCGGGCTCATAGGGTCACGGCGAGGAGGGTGGGGGATGAGGACGAAGAGGAAGAGAACGCGAATGGCGAGGGCCAAGATGCGGATCGGACGAAAGGGAGTAGGCGAAGGACGAGTAGCGGCACATGCGGCGCGCGCCAAGGCAGGAGAGAAGGGCAGCCCAACATTGTTGTTGCGCCCCATCCCGCCTGGGCGCGCGCCGCATCTGAGCCTCGCGATCTCGTCGATCAGGGCCTTCGTGCCAGACGTCGGAAGTCGGGGCGGCGCAGCGCTGCGTGAGTGCGACGGGGCTCGCTCTCGGGCGACGGGCCCCATTGGGCCGACGCGTCGAAGGCCCCGACCCGCGTCCTTCTCATCTTTCTCCTCCTCCTCGTGCTCCTCCGCCTCATCTTCCTCCTCCTCCTCCCCACTCCTTCTCCTCTTCCTCTTCCGTTTCCCCCTCCCGTTCCTCCTCGCCCTTCTCCCTCCGTCGCCTCATCATCGCCAGCATGGCCATCAGCATCGCCATCGGCACCGCCGCCGTCATCACCAGCAGCATCAGGACCATTTGCAGCACCACAATCATCATTCTCATTATCAGCATCAACATCATGGTCATACTCATCGGCATCATCATCAACAACGTCATCGTCATCACCATACTCATCAGCTACCGTACTCATCATCGTCTTCATCAGCAGCCTCACCACCACAGTCGCCGCCATCGTCCTCAGCACCATCAGCAGCATCCTCGTCGCAATCATCACCACCGTCACCATCACCATCACCATCAA